TGTGTTTTCCCAAGTGGGATTGCCCCGCCCTCCGCCGCTCGCTGTTCCACCATTAGATGGTATGCATTTATCCGTAGATGGTGACCTTCGTCGCTCCCTACTAAGCTAATTTCACACATGAAGATTACTCGCATGTGCCCAGTGTGACGAGAATCATGAAGACATTAGTGTCGGGAGGCATGTGGGACTTGATGGGGAAATGGCCGAGGAAAGCTCATGCAGGATTTGAGCCAGCGGATTTTTTTTTGTGAAATCACGTTTAATTGCACAAGAACAAATTTGGACACACATTTTAGATATGTGGACACGCATCATGTCATCCAAATTCTGTCATATATATATATATATATATATATATATATATATATATATATATATATCACTAATGCACTACAATAGGGAAAATTACATTTTATTCCTTAAGTTTGTTTGTAAAGTTGATATTATTTAACATGTTACTATGTTACCGGGGAGATTTTTCTGTCTGAGCTGACTCTAAATCAATGCATCACACTGACCCACGTCCTATTCCACCTTTTGTTCTTGCAGTGATCCAGTGGACATTGAGTCCCTGAGGAGAGCAGCAGCCAGTAAGGGAGGACTGCTCACTGATGAACTAAGGAGGAAAGTCTGGCCCAAACTACTCAACATCAACGTGTACGATCTACCACATAAACCTGGTTAGTGGTTGATTGATGCTAATATTTACTGGGTTGATGCATGCTTCACAATACTGCAAAATACTGTTACTACTAGTACTAATGCTGACAACGATAATAATTACATTTCGTATGGTGTAGGTCAAGATGTGAGGGAGAACCACAAGGACTACAACCAAGTAGTCCTGGATGTGAGGAGGTCCATGAAGCGGTTCCCTAAAGGTCTGTGTTCTGTGTGTGTGTGTGGGTGTGTATGTTAGTTATCTCTAAAGATAGCAGCATCGCTCACGGTGTCATTTATCTACCTGTACTCCTGTACTTACAGCGACATGCAGATATCTGGAAAGGCTTAAGGATTAATGAACTGAGTAAAATCTGCAACAGGGTCAGATTCTTATGTCACAAGACGCCTTCGTTGTCAGCCAAAACCACAACGTTGGGAAAGCAACAGAGAAAAGTGTCTTATCTAACTGAGAAGCTGTCAGTTCAATCTCAGTTAATTGTGGTTTTGACTTAATAATCTTTTCTGCCAAGAAGAAGTGAACATATTTCGGAAAAAATGACTTGAAAAAAGCAGCAGGGACTGAGGGAAAGCTGGATTAGAGCGTTAGTTTTGTTGATCTCTGTCTGTGTACTACAGTAAGCTGCTCAACATATGCTGGATTTGATGTCATTTTTCCAGTAAAAGGCGCAAGAAAAGTAAGAATGATGTTCTTTTGGGAAGATAAACTTGATGTTTTATGCACATGTTGTGCAAAGAAATCATGTTGTCATACCACACCTGGGCAGTGTTTGGGTTTGTGTAAAACCCTGGTTATAAGCACCCGGACCAGAGTCGGATAACTTGCGTCAACTTATTTATAACGGCGACAATCACAAGCATTTTCCAGGTTTTATTTTTGTCTCTTAAGATTTTATTTGTTTGTGATCCCTGGCTGTTCCTCAGGTATGCCAGCCTCAGAGAGGGCTGTGCTTCAGGAGCAGCTGATTGACATCATACTGGAGGTTTTGAAACGCACCCCTCAGCTCCATTACTACCAAGGCTACCACGACGTGGCCGTCACTCTGCTGCTGGTAGTCGGGGAGCGGATGGCCATCGCCATGCTGGACACTCTGTCCAATCACCATCTCAGGTTGTACTTTTTTTTTTTTCTAATAAATCCATTTATCAGTCAAGTTAAACACACAACTTTTTTATTTTTTTACTGGATCCAATTAAGTAACTTTATTTCAAATAGTTTCGCAGTGATAACTTACTGACTGTTTTCTCTGTCTTTAGGGATTTCATGGATCCTACCATGGACAGCACCAAACACATTTTAAACTACTTGATGCCGATATTGGAACAAGTTGATACGGAACTACACGACTTCATGATCAGGTAAACATTCACTCGCACGTAATCAGATTGCAAAAAATAAGTAACAATAAACAGCCCAGTGCAGTCAGATCATAGTTGGCGAACATTGTCAAGAATTACTTGATTACTTTTTTTGATTATGTTTATGCCTGAGCATGTTTTTGTAAAGGTAATTTGATTTGAACATTTCTAAATAACGAATATGTTGTATGTTAAAGTAAGTTACTCCTCTCAGGCTGCCAGGTTGGTTATTGGTGATTTAACTAATATTTGTTCTTGTTTTAATGGTGCGTTATGGGTAATGGAGTTTTATTTTAACTTTATTTACATTGGAAATGAAAGATGAGCATTTTGGTTAAGTGCTTCTCTTGCGTTACAAGAGCAAAGTCCTCCATGTGGCCGTAGATTAAAAAAACACCAGCAACAAAAATATACACAAAACAGCATCCCGCATGTTGTAGAATACACACAGTACCTGTAGTTTTTATGAAGGTAATTTGATTTGACCAGCTGTAATAGCTGAATATGCAAAATGCATTTTATTTGCATTTAAAATGTTTTGAGATCAAACTGATTTTTGCAGCTGCGTCCATTTTTAGTCAATGTTTGATTTAGTAAGTAATCAAAAGTATCCAGATTACATTACTTTTTTTTTAATCCAATGATTTTGTTACAAATTACAAATATTGCCTCGTAATTTGTCTTCGGTAACGGATTTCAAAGTATTATTTGAAGTCGCTTTTGAAGTAATGTAAGTCAAATCCACTAGAGGGCACTAAAGTGTTGATTTTCACCAGTGAGCTTCACAGAGAGACAAATATTTGAGTGTTTTGTTTGTGAATTGGAGCTCAACTGAAAATGCATCAGTGGTGGTCTCATTGGGGAGTTCCTGTGTCAGATGCTCCAACAGCTGTTTCAGAGGCTTCTCTGTCCCACCAAGTTGTGCACCACATTTATCTTTATTTGTGAAATGTAATCATCCAAAAATGATTCATTATCTTTTTGCAGTTAATTGAAGCAACAAGAAAGCATTTGACAACATAACCAGTTACTGTAAGTGAGTATGGGGCGTGTAGTGAGGACTAGGATTTGTGATGTTCTGAGTCAATAAATTGTCCTCGAGGTGTGTGTGTGTGTGTGTGTGTGTGTGTGTGTGTGTGTGTGTGTGTG